TGCTTGCTCAAGAGCTCAAGCTGCTCAATGCTCTGGATTCAGTCTAAGACCCCAACATCCACTTCCTCTAATCAAGCCATCCAGCTTATATAGCCACAAAGATATTCTTATTTTCCAAAGGTCTGGGCTCCTTAAATTTTTGTCTTCTCTCTCAATATTGGTCTTTTATATCATGGACACTTGAGCTCCCAGAAAGTCTGTTATCTATGGGGGCAAATGTATGACATTAGGTGCATGGTGAGTTTTCAGGAGAATTGATCATTTCCTCAGCTGCTATCAATGGAAATCTCCTGAGTCTCTACTGCATTCATAAAAATCAGATCATGTTTGACAAATGTAGCTGGATATTTTTATACGCTTTCTCTATTGCTTGGTAAGTAGGAGTGAGGGAGGTGGAATTTATCTGAATATTTGTAAAATGTATGACATTGAGCCCGTAGGTGGGATGATTTTTGAAGCCAGCAAAGTTTTCTTTCTCCAGAAAACAGAAGTCAGCAAGTTCAGTGGTTATCAGTATCAGCTTTAGGGTCATATCCAGTTGGATTTGCTTCCTGATTGCCCCATTTATATGGGCAAATTTCTATGCCTCTGTTTTCTCAAGGTAATAAAGCCATCTGGTCTACCTATTTTAATTCTGTGAAGGTTGGTGGTATTTCATGGTATTTTACCCAGTCTCTGATAAAGAAAGGGTTGGTTGTTAGTAAGTGGTAATAATTATAACAGATGGAAATTAGATGGCGTCAAGAGAACTCTAGAAAGCATAGCAACCTTAGCCAAAAATTCCCAGGGACTTTTTCAATAGTATTTGTCTACTCATTTTATCCTAGCCTGGAGTTTTGATTGGAACTTTTCTAATAGTTGACTAGCAGAAAATGAGTTGCTTAAAATTTGTATATTCAACACTGTGAAATGTGATAAGATTGCATAGGAATGTTGTTGCTATTTTATTTAGGTTTTTCAAGGCTCAATCTTGAACAGAATTTGTGCCCCTAGGAGTAAAAAAGGAAGAGAGACATTAAGTTTCAGACTTCCCTGGGTGTTGAGATGAAGTTATTTGAAATTCAAAGTGTTAATATGATAGCTAAGAGGTGAGGGTTTGACAAAAGAACACTGAAGGGGATGTGTCTTTTCTTCTTTTCTTAAGCTAGTCATGTCAATATTTCTACTTAGGTCAGGAGTCCTTACACTAAGATGAAGCAGCGAACAAGAGCTCCGTTAATCTCCTTTCCTTATATCTTTCTTTCTTATTACTGGGGGAAGTGGCTCATAAAGTATGTGGAGGATCTGGAAAGCTGGTCTATTGGTTAAGAGCACACACTGCTTTTGTAGAGGACCCAAGTTCTTGTCCCAGAACTCATACTGGCTGCCTCATGAGTGCCTGTAACACCAGATCTCAGGATCTGATAACTGTAATCTCCATACACAGGGGCATTGGCACTCAGGTACAGGTACCCACATACATGCACATAATTAAAAATAATAAAAATAAATCCTTTTTAAACTGTAGAGACTATTGTTTGTTTGTCCTGATCATGAGACCTGCCCTGCAGTGGTTGATATCCCCAGTGTCATTCTATTGGAAAAAAAAAACTATTTTCAATCTTTGAGAAGGTATAAATGACAGTTCAGTTGTTAATATTTACCCTAATGGGTAAGTTTTTGTGCATCCAGTAATTCATTTATTTTTAAAATATAGTAAAATAAAATAAAGATTTAAAAAAAACTACCACATCAAAGTTGGGCAAGAAAAACCAATGGAGGGAAAGGAACCTAAGAAGAGGAACAAGAGTCAGAGACCCACTCACTCAACACACCCAGGAGTCCCATAAAAACACTAAACTGGAAGCTGTAACATATACAAGGACCCTGGCCTTGCTGCTTCAGTTTCTGTGAGTTCATGTAAGCTTTGTTCATGTTGATCTAGAGGACCTTGTATACTATTGGCACCCTGAATCCCCTCTGGCTCTTGCATTCTTTAGTCTCCTGAGAGGTTCTCTGAGCTCTGAGGGGAGGAATTAGAAGGAGACAACTCATTTAGAGATTAGTGTTCCAAGGTCTCCCATTGTCTATGTAATATCTGGCTGTTGGTGTCTCTCTGTATTTGTTCCCAGAACCCATAGTGGCTACCTCACTAGATCTCAAGCACTAGATCTCAAGGAACTAATATCTCCAGCCTCCACAGTCAGGTATGCTGAAACTTAGGTACACGTACCCACATATATGCACATAATTAATAATAATAAAATAAATTGATTTTTAAAATGCACACACACACACAAATGTGTTGCTTGATATGAGCCAAGATTTCTGGGGCAAACAGAGTTCGTTCTCTGCTTCTCTGAACACCAAAATCTCAGCACCTCCAGGTGAAAATAGAACTGCCTTGCTTACATCATGGGGCCTACATCACAGGAATTAAACCATAGGACTACATCCCAGGGATTACACCACAGGGACTACAACATAGGACCTGCATCACATGGCTCCTGAAAGTTAAGAGAAGGGATGCAAAACACATTGTTCAGCAAGGTTTAATCCTTCCTGTTAACTCAGAAAGGAAAGCAGAAGTTCACATACTTTCCTTAGCCTGGAGATTCTTGAAGGAATAGCTGTGGTATGAGGTAACACTGGGCTGTAAACTCAGTTTACAGTAGGGCTCGATCCGCTGTACTACAGACCCACAGTGGCTTTCTTTCGTGGTCTTCTGAAAAGTAAAAAGGGCTAATGAGAAAGCAGGCAAGGAAAGGCCATGTCTTACTGCCTCTGTTTCCTGAATTCAGGCCAAACACATATCTGCATGTAAGAGCTTCAAATCTTAAGAATCTGAGGAGTGTCAGTGCCAAGAGTTAAAAAGTACCAAGCTACCCCCAACCAAAAGGAGTTCAGTGCCTTGAGATGTACCTGCGAGCTACTCTGGGATAAGTGGCTGGCTGGGTGTAGAAGCAACCAGCCAGCTCAAGCGCTCCTGTCCTTCCATCAGGAAGGCCAGGACGATTGCTAGGGACCATTGCAGCAAGAGTCCACAGTCAAGGGCCTGCCCTTTCACAGTTCTGCAGTATTTATGTCCAAATTCCTTATTTAGTATAGAAGGTTTACAGATACTTATTACGTTACCCTAATTGCCTAAAAAAACTAGATGTTCAGAACACAGTAGAATCAATTCTATGCTTCATTTACCTTTGTAGTCTACTGGTTTTAACACTAAACTTAAAATAATAATACCTTTTCAAAATTTCATTTGCCATCCCATTCACATGTTCCTCATTATTCATGTGAAGAGGTTGTTTGATATGATGAACTATGTCCATTACATTCTCTGGGCCCCTGTCCATGCTTGATAGTTTAGAGTCATTTTTTTTTGTTTGTTTGTTTGTTGTTTATTTGTTTGTATTGTTATGAAGAGCTATCCACTGTAAAAGCTGTGATGGTTAACGCCAACTGTCAACTTGATTAAACTGAGTGATATCTAAGAAATCAATAAAGCCTACTTTTAAATTGCCAAGGAGGGTGTTTCTGGAAATACGTTATGATGCCCTGGGCTTTATCAGAGGCTTAATTCATGGGAGAATTAAACTGAGTAGACCATTGGACTATGGTGGAGACTTAGAAGGTTCTAGCCAGCTTAGGGGAAACAGGTAGCCTGGGACTATGTCTTGCTCTACCTCTGTCCTGTTACTTCTCTCTCTGCATACTGGCCTCAATGAGATGTTCCTCTGAAAGCTCTAGTTACCATCATGTTTATCCCTCACTACAAGTCCACAGCACCCAAGTAAGCCAGAGAAGGACTCAAACCCCTAAAACCATGATCCCAAATGCACAATTCCTCCCTTGAAGTTGTTTATATGAGGTTATCATACTATTGATACAAGTAGCTGACAACATGGCAAACAAAACAACAGGCAGTTAAACAGTCTGATAAATAAGGAAGTTGCTGGAGTTCTCATATTACTGAGAAGAGCTGAAGATGTAAATTCTGGAAAAGACACGCTTTCTCAGTGAGGATGGTGACAGGAACTTGAGGACTCTTCTGTAGTGTCTTTCAGCCTCAGCTACTTCATCGTGACTGCTCAAGGTCCAGATTCCCAGTGGAAAATCTGATTGTCAGCAAGTCAAATTCCAATCTGATCTTCATAAGCTCTGGTCAGGACCGTAGGTCCCTCTACTGTCATCTGTCTACGATTGTGGAAAGGTCAGGGTCTGTTTCCCAAAGCATCCTGAACACAGAAAGAGGACAACTTACATAAAACAAGTATTTATTGTATGTTTAAAACAAGGCAATACTCTTCCAAGAAGAAATGGTATTTAACTTTGAAGTTTGTCACTTTTAACTTTCTAGAAAGTTCAGAAATAGAACATTCTTGATGTCAACTGACTTCTGTAGTGCAATGTCAGCTCGATGGATGATGATCAAGGTGCCAGCATCTACTTTAGAATTTTCCTCCTGAGCCATAGCCTTGACAGCTTAGAAAATAAAGAAACTTGTGGTTATAAACTTTAATTATCTCTAGATAATGACTCAGACATGATGACCATGACTCTCTTTTCCAATCACTTGGAAAGTTTGATTTGCACAATTTAAAAAGTTTTAATCATGTCTTGGACAAAACAAACATAACTGTAAGGTAAAACTATGACCTGGGGAGAAGCCCAGTAGTTCAAGAATAAGAAAGGCAGAGTTTGGCTTCCTATATCTTTCCTGGTCTACATAAGGCTGTGTTACTATAGTGGATATGATGTGAATCTTGAGCTAGAAAGATTCTATTGACATGCAAATGTGAATATGAATAAATGTTGTAAAACTAGACTCTGCTTGGCAGATGTGCAAGGGTGTATTCAAACACATAATGCAAAGATCATACAAAATTCTACTGATTATCTGAAATTTGTCTTTGTTCTCACTCCAAAGCAATGACAGTGGCTATTAAGACTTCTGAAACTATGTTATTTGGAATTCCTGAACATTCTTAGATGGCCTTTCTTCTCATGACTGTTTTCCACAGCCGTGAATTGCAAGGACAAACTGGAGGGCAGAGAAGGACAAGTGACCCCAAAACTAGCTTCTGGTATTGTTCGTTTCTCAAGACCTGGAACTATTCTCCGGTAAGAGAAATACTTAGATTAACAATTATGTGGTAATTACTTAAGTCAGAGCTAGCCAGTAAGAAACAAGCAAGGCCAACAGCTTCATAATTAATATAGCCTCCTGTGTGTTTATTTGGGACTGATACGGCTCTAGAACCAGGTTGGCAGGAAAGCTCCTCTCAAGGAAAAAGCTTCTCTTTACAGAATGGTGTCAGAGTGGGATTGAATTTCCACACAAAACAACAAAAGCTTTAAAGGAATTTTAGAAACAGAAGAACAGAGAGAAGCACAGATTTTGGTAGCAGCATTTTTCTCAGGTGTGGTCTGTTTTGCTAGCAACAAGCCGAGATTCACGTGGCTTGCTTACCAGAATCTTCCTGACTGGGCATAAAAAGAAAAAAAAAAACCAGCCAGCAAGGTTGTTTTAAGAGACTCTGCTAACGATTAAAAGGGGTGTATGAACAGCTGGAAGTAGCAGCTTTTGCTGGATTTCAGCATGGACTGAGGCGGTAAGCTAGAATCACGCTTTTGCCCGCCTTCTTGAAAACGGCAGTTTAAAACAGCCGCGATTTTACAGATAAGACATGTGGCCAGAAAGACGTAAAGATTTACAGTAAAGTCAGACTTGGATGAACAATATCTCTAAAGGGTTACAGTGTGTTTAAAAATATACGTAAGATTGAGAGAGAAAATAAAGAAGCCCGTTGCGGTGGCTCACACCGGTAGGAATTACTCCAGAGGCAGAGGCAGAGGCAGGTGGATTTCCAAAGAGAAATCCTGTCTCAAAGAAAAATAAATAAAGTAATAATAGATAAATAAATAAGCCACATAAAAATGGAAAATACACAGAGAGTCTGGATACTGTATGCTATTGTGTTTTTCAGTTTTTTCATTGCTAAGGAAGGAACAAATGCTAAAGTACACTTCATTATAAATGCTGCTGAATTAATTCAACTTATATCTTTTGAAAATGCCTTGACTTCAAAATTTAAGTATAAGGATATGTTACTCAGAAAAGGAGTTTTAGTTTATGTTTCCACAGAAAATGAAAAGCTGAGGTTTCCTTCCAGGCTTCTGTGGTTTGACGAACCAAGACCCCCGGTAGCAGTGGACCAGGTGTTCCAACAACTGAAACAGCTAAGACGATGCAGCTTTACAGACCACGAAAATAAGGATTTATACAGGTTTCTGAGTTTTGTCATGATCCCCATGGTATGAACAGCGCCCCCTTCCAGCACGAAGCAGTTTGGAATGAGGGACGTCCCAATTCCCATCTTGTTTATAAATCTCTGTTTTCATTTAAATGGGGTTGTTTCTAATTGGCTAATGATCACAGCCGATCTCTTATTAATGGTAGAAAGGGGAATTATGTTATAGGTATGGTTTTTCATTTATTGATACAAATTCAAGGTCAATTTTGTGATATGTATATTTCTCCTCTTGATTAAGTATTGTGCTTATACTGATCTTTTAAAATGTAATGCGTAATTAAATACAGATTATAGATAGTTACTTATAATAGTCAGAATTTATAGTTAGGTAAGTTAGGTTTTCTAGATATACAGAAATATATTTGAGATAAATAGTCTTCAAACCTTTGAAAGACCTTCAGAAAATGGCATTTAAAATGGCTTAGGGTTTTTCTTGACAATGAGAAATGTCTGCTCTTGGCAGCACCAATTACGTCTGAGATGGGCATCAAAGAAACTCGTTATGGAGTTTGCTTTCAACATGGCAAGATTAGCCATTTGGGCAAGAAACTGCTCTTGCCTAGACTGTTTGACTATTGTTGTATAATCTGGACATGCAGGACCCACAGGAAAGTGACTGCTAAACTCAGTCTTACAGGGTTCCTGCTTCATGGAAGAGTCTACGGGACATTCTGCAGGACACAGAAAAATGACTGACAGACTGCTGATGCAGATGGACAGTTTTGAAATTTCCTGCTTGCCTGAGAAATCTTCTAGATACATTGTGGCCTATGGGCTGAAGATGGATGCCCCAACGTTACAGTGTAACTTCAGGTGACTGTCCAGGCAGTAAGATGTCTCTATCAATCCTAGTGTTTATATATTATCCTTCTGTGGTCTTTGATAGAGTTGAAGACAGATAGCTATAATTATAGTTTTCCTTAGTTATGATAAGAGATAAGCTACATATAGGACTTTGGACTCACAAGAAAGAGATAGATGATATTTTCTTTAAATCTTGCTAAATGTTGTAACTGTGTTCTTACTTGATAACTGTTCTGTTATATATAATTTGACTGTGTTAAAGTTAAGACCTTTCTTTTTGTTTAAACAGAAAAGAGGATATGATGGGGGAAGTCCTGTACATTTGTTAATAAAGCACTGTTGAGCCAATAGGAATCTAGATAGGTGGGACTAGGAGTCCAGGAGGATTCTGGGAAGGAGAAACACAGAGGAATTCGAGATGTAACCGCCATGGGGTAGGAAGCCCGGAACTATTCTCCGGTAAGAGAAATACTTAGATTAACAATTATGGGGTAATTACTTAAGTCAGAGCTAGCCAGTAAGAAACAAGCAAGGCCAACAGCTTCATAATTAATATAGCCTCCTGTGTGTTTACTTGGGACTGATGCGGCTCTAGAACCAGGCTGGCGAGAAGGCTCCTCTCAAGGAAAAAGCTTCTCTTTACAGGAACATTTCATATATATATATGATGGGGGAAATCTTCTGTGCATGTTTCTTTTATTGGTTGATGAATAAAGCACTGTTGGCCAATAGGGAGGCAAGATAGGTAAAACTAGGAGACAAGGAGAATTCTGGAAAATGTAGTAAAAAGAAGTTGCCATGTGATTCAGGCAGGAAATGATGTAACAGGCAGAATCAGAATATAAGCAAGAACAAACAGGAAATCACTCTCTTTTCCCTGAGGTGATGCTGAGTAGATATGATATAGAACCCAATGGAGTAAGAGGCCCAGACCTTTTATCCATTAAGATAAGGCAACATGGAAATACTTAGATTAGTAGTCATGGGTTAATAATTAAGTCAGAGCTAGCCTATGAGAAATCATAGCTATTGGCCATCAGCTTTATAATAATAAACCATCGTCGTGTTTCTTAGGGGCAGAGAAGGGCAGTGGCACCTAGCCAGGCCAAGACAATCTCATGTTACATATATCTTTCATGCGTAAAATGTAAAACTGAAATTCTTTAGTGGAGCCCCTTCTTAACACTGTGACATGGAATGCCAGTGAAGGGTCTCTGTGAGTTATCTAGACTTATTATAAATTACAGTGACAGAGCCTTAGTGTTTTTTCTTAAGGACCCTTGAGTGGTTGGGTGGAGGTGAAGTGCCTTCCATTCATCCCCAAAGCACAAGATTAATGTGTTTTGTGGTTTGATTGTAAATATCCTATATTGTATGATGTGTTTGAACACTTGAACCCAAACTGGTGATGCTGTTTGGTCATAAATTATTTTGAAGATATTTCTTAATCTAAGAGACTGGAACTTTTCCTGGGCCTCACAGCCAAATTTGATAATATACCGTGAAGTCGCTAAAAGACTAATATCCTACTTGTACTCAGCCAATTTGTTTAACCTGCCCTTAAAAGAAGAATGTAACAACCAACATTCCATGCCTTGGATTTCCCATCTAATCAGTGTTTACTACCCTAAGCTAATGAATAGCTGTAATCTTAAGATATGTACTCTTCCATGCCCCTGACCCAGAGAGCAATGTATGTGTAAATGTGTGTGTGCTAACATGGCAATTTATTGAAAACAACAAATCAGTTGAAAGCAACCTTAAAAAAAATGTCCACCATATCCTGGGTATACAAATGGACTTTGGACTCCCATCCAACAATGAGAGATGCACTCTCATCCTGAACTTTTTGGGGGAGGGTATAGGCCCTTCCCTGGATGAAATGACAGACTATGGACACTCCCATGGAGGGCCTCACCCTCCCTGGGGAAATGAGGGGATATTGGGAAGGTTGGTGGGAGGGCACAGGAGGAGGGGGAGAAAAATGGAGAGGGACCTGGAATTGACATATGAAGCAACCTTGTTTCTAATTTAAATTTAAATTTAAAAATAAAAAAATATTAGAAAGTCCACCATAAATATCAGATACAACATAGATATAAATTTGAAGTGTGTTTATAGTGATGTTTATAGTACTGCTCATTATCTTAGTCAGTTCATGTCAGTAGGAGCCAGAGACTTAATCACCTTATAAAACAATGTTACAATTGTCTGATGTATTTCTCCATGGACCAGAGACAAAATGGTGGCCCCTCCCTCCTTCCATGTGGCTCTGCAGAGCATGTAGCCATTGCATTCCACCTACTGTGTGTGTGCTCACTGGTACAGATGACCAGTGCTTCTCTCTTGTACAGATTCTGATAAAAGAAGATGGGAACGTCTTAAATATTGCATGGGGCAGGAGCGTACCAGCTGCCAGGTCTGGGGCAATGGTGGTAATTGGGTTTTTGTCGGATCAGTGCTGAAGCAGCGCTTTGTCCTAGTCAAGGTTTATTTTTGTTACAATTAACATGTTTCCTCACAGAAGCTGAAATATGAAAGATTATAGTGTAAAAACAGGCTTGTTATTTAGAACTCAAGCTTGTTAATACATTGTGACCTCTTCTCTGTGCCCCCCTGTTCTGTCTGTGAGGCCATATGCTCTCTTTTCTCTTTATTTCAGGGCCTCAGCTTCACTCTCCTCTTTGACACTTCTGCAGAATCTCCATCCCTGCACATATGGCAGAAGTTGCCCCAGGCTTTTCTATTCACATGCCCTTGGCATTTACATGTCGGGCCTTGAGCGAAGGCAGAAGGGCCTGGAACTTTCAAAGAAAGACTCCCTCATCAAACGAGTTGAACCTGTTCATCCATGTGGAGTTCATCCAAGAATTTCATGGAAACCTTCATGCCCTCTAAGAAAATAAGAATCTGGTATCAAGTATTTTGATGGGTAATTCATGGACATTAGCCTTGCTGAAAATTCACTGAAACCCTAGAAGATGGATATCATAAACA